CTAATAACAATCATAAGTTATAAACCTCAGTTAATATAACAACAATTTATATAAATATCATTTAACCTAACGCCTGATTATACGCAAGTAGCACAAACTAATGTACGGTTATACGTATAATTATTTTTGTAGTTAGTATAAATACGGGGTAGATGAAAAAAATGCTCATGTTGTCTGTCACAAATAAGTTAATAAGTCGTTGAGAAGTTGTATTTGGTCAGAAAATTGTTGAAAATAAAATTCAAATATGTCTATTTTAAACAGTAGTACATTTAAAAGTTCGAAAGGACGTCTGAAATTGTTTGTTAATGGATTTATTTATAATAAAAACAGACAAGTGAATAATACAGTGTATTGGATTTGTGAATTATACCAAACCAAGCAATGCAAGTCTCGTGCAACCACAATAGTGAATATGGAAACCGAAACACACACAGTGACTAAACATAATGATTATTTACACAATCATGATCCTGATCCAGCACGACCGGAAATTTCATCTATCATTACTGAATTAAAAATAAATTCCATCGAACACCCAGAGAAAAAAACTTGCCAGATTTTACAAGCTGCGAAACGTAACGCTGATGAAATGATTTTGAGCAAGTTGCCCTCTACTTCAGCCATGAGACAAATTGTTTATCGCGGGAAGAGTAAGGGAAAACCAGTTTTTATGGAACCTACGAGTGTCTATTTTACAATACACCATCATGGCTTACAAATTCATGAAGAAAATTTATTAACGATTAAGAAACGATATTCCTAAAACTAATAGTATATCAATTATAATTTGACCTGAAACTATGTTCGTAAACGCAAACAAATTCGCTTCTGGCACTCACCGGCCGCTGCCGCGACACGCTCGCTGCGCTCGCTCGGCTCGTGCGGCTTTTTCATATACTAACCTAACCTAACCTACTAGATAGAGGACGCAACCAAGATTTGACCTATGTGAAATACATTTGTTTTCTTTTAAACCACCAAGGAATCCAGTGTGTAACAATAATAATTTTGTCGAAACGAAGATTCAGCTATGTAAACTATACTATTGAAAACATAAAGTTACACTCTAGTATCGAACAGACAAGTACCACGGCGAGCCGGGTTTAACTTTATTATTTATAAAAAATGACATGTGAAAATTATCAGAATTGACAATATATGAAATGACAGTTATATGATATGAGCTTTATTTTTAAAAAAGTTATAAAATGTGAATGTTATATCAAACAACAATTATATGAAGTTAAAATATAGGAACTGAAATTAGTCCAAATGAAAATTATATTATATGAACGGTATATGTTCTGAAATTAGTTTATTTGATTTTCGAACAACTGAGACGCACCCGTTTTTATTATTTATAGAGCCCCTCTACCCAATTCTCCCTCTATGAACTATAACAATGAAAAAGGATCGCTCTGAATCTTAGCTGGTTCAAACCATAGATATAGAAAAAACGGGGAGATATGTAATGACGCTATGTAAGATCGGGTGCCGATGTCGCCACTTTTTAGCTTGTGTGCAATTCAAACTTTACGCTCTACTATCATAACCTAAAGATTTTGATTGGGTAGGGCTTAAAACGTGAAAATGACGTAAAACAATTTTAAAATTTAACAAAATTAAACTTACAGTCACTTGAATAAGAGTTATATTACAATATTTCAGTATTTTTTTATCCTGGTTCAGCCATTCACCAACAGGTGGCGTTTAGCAAAAATACTGCTAGTATATAATAGCTAACTATTACACGTCAGATGGCGCTGAAACTCATTTTTCGTTTCACTAAAAACTCACGGAGTGGTTGTCACCCGCGTCTGCCGCGGGACCGCGGCATCTGTAGAATGTAACAGTCAAGTATGTAAAATTTGTAGCACATTTCACGACGCGTTTTACGCCTGTAGTGGTGACGGTTGCTCGCGGTTGCCGCGGCGAGGTACTAGTAGAACCGCGCAGGACGCGATGACCTGCGCGCTTGGCGGCTGTCGTCGCCCGCACACTTTGGCGGTCGGTTCAGGTGCAACGTGGTGCAGGCGCACGCAGGGTGAGTTCTCTATTAATCGCGCGACTTGCAATTAACTCCCACTAACTTCGCGGTTCCGCAATCGCAACGGTTCGTGCCCGCAACCGCGGCAGTTACGTGCCCGCACAAACTTGCAGGGTCGTGAGAATTGAAATAAAACCGCTGTCTAGCAGCACCGGCGCGGCGGGCGCGGATGGAAACCGCTCCGTGAATTGTTAACCTTATTAACCTTAAATTGACGCTACTCAACGAGGGATATGGTCCCACCTAATCGATAGTTGGAAACCATGTGGCTGTTTTTAATATTAAAAAAAAAATTCATTTTTGATACCATATCTACACTGGTACTGGTGTATTATTAAATTAATATGTTAATATAAATTATTATTATTTTCTTAATGGCGGCCACTAGGCTTGGACCAATGTCAGTTTTATAAGAATAATATAAAAAATATGGCGATCGTCGCCAGTGTCAATTTTCCATTATACGTTACCACGGGTTGCTGAAGCTGTCTCTGTCAAGAGTAAACTCGAACCATTAACGAATTTAATAACTTAAATTGTTTTTTTATGAAGGATTTATGTAATTTTCTATAATTGTTTCTAATTTATTTTGCATGCACATGTAAAATAAAGCCGATTTTATTTTATTTATTTTTTAAATGCATTTGCTATGGAAATTGAAATAAAATCAGAAATAGTAATAAGAAAACCAAACTTTCGATTTTCCTGCAGCTTCAATCCAACCTTCTTTTATTTTAAACTCATTGGAAAAAGTAAAAAATTAAAAATACTTTACGTTTAATGTACGAGTATAATGGAATTTAAATATCTTAAATTGTTTGTAGGCGTGTCATCTCGATATGGTCATTTTGACCATATCGAGGCGACGCGAACCACGCCCCCATATCATATCTCCCCTTTTTTTCTATATATATGGTTGTATGGCGGTATGGCGCCGCATTTCCTCCCGCACTGTTCAGTTCTGTTCGATCAGGCACTCCGATCGTACGCGAGCACACGCATCCGCATTATGTATGATTAGTGAAAACGACGATGCCAGAAATTGACATTTCTAAGATACAGCTTAGTGACTTTATGTTCGAAGATGTTTTGTTTAAAACATTAATTTGTCAATTTCTGGCGAGCGCGTGCGTACTATCGGAGCGCCTGATCGAACTGATAAAAATTTAATTACTATAGAAAATACGTTATTTTATTTTTCCTTTGAAAAAGTATTTGTATAACGGTTTTTGTAAAAACAAACACTGTTATACAAATTCGTTTCATGGTCGAGCTCGCGCCGCCGAAACTGAGATATACTGAGGTATTACGAAGGGCCAATGTTAGTGTTGTTGAAAAGTATCTTATACGGCGGCGGCAACTTCATTGGTGTGGACATGTGTCGTGGATGGCGGACTAGTGGCGAAGCGCATCTTTTATTCTGAACTTGAGGAGGGCAAGCGTAAGCGTGGCGGACAAGTCCTTACGTTCAAGGATGTGCTGAAATGTCACACGAAGAAATGCAATGAAGAACCTGCACACTGGTCAACACCAAAGTTTGTGACTTTGAGTATGAAAGGCTCTCGGAACTTATTGTAAGCGCAATGAACTGAAAACCTCGCATGTGTTTACATGCCAAAATTGCGCGAGGATCTTCCTCCAGAAAATTGGCTGCATAAGCTACATGCAAGCTCACGAACGAAGCCTACATCGGAGCTGAAGTGGTCGCCGAAATCGTCTGGGAGTATTCATATTCAATAGTATATTGTTATTGAATATCATGATGTTTCTAACACCGTGATATTAATCTATTAAAGTTACTCACTGCGCCAACCCAGTGAAGGTTAAATCGTGCAAAATAGCTGCGCTTACGTTGATTTTTTTTTTCTTCATGCATGCTATATCGTGTTTGCGCTCATCAAATATCCACATTTTATTGTCTTTGGAATGCACTATTTTGTATCGGGGATGTTTCAAATTTAATTTCCCCTCCCTCTTCGCGTCGTATTCCTCATTACTAAGGGTAACTTCCCCGCGGAAATAGAAACTGTACGACGGTGCTGCGCTGTTTGTGGCGGTCTTTGGCACAGTGGAGCACGTCATGGAGACTCATGCCTAGATCTCCTTGTTAAAGAGTTTGTCCAAGGAAGTAATGCCGTTTCCAATTTCTGCCTTAACTATTTCCGCCGCCAAGCAGTAATGTCAGTATTACTGTGTTCCAGTTTTGAAGAGTAAAGGGCGCTGGTGAAATTACAGGTACATGGCACTAATTGTCGACTTCTGTCTCAAGGTGACGGGCTCAGTAGCAATACCCCTCAGATCTTTGCGTTTTAAAGCACTGAGTGACACTGCAACTGTTATGGACAATTATAAATCTCTGCTGTTGCTGACCACCAAACAGGCCCACGATTTGTTCATCCTGTCATAAAAAATAAAATCTTGTGGGACAGCCACCCCTCGGACGTTTACCGTTGATCCGTCTGGTAACTATTAACTGTTCCAGGTCGCGCCCTTCTTTCCTGCCCTTCTTTCGCTCCGTGAGTTCTTAGTGTAACGAAAAATGAGTTTCAGCGCCATCTAACGTATAATAGTTACCTATTATAAACTAGTATCATTTTTACTAAAACGCCACCTGATGGTGTCTGGCTGAACCAGGATGAAAAAAATACTGAAATATTGTAACATAACTCTTATTTAAGCGACTGTAAGATTAATTTTGTTAAATTTTAAAATTGTGTTACGTCGTTCTCACGTTTTAAGCCCTACCCAATCAAAATCTTTAAGTTATGGTAGTAGATGATAGAGCGTAAAGTTTGAATTTGTAACTAAACGTTTTTGTTTGTATCTGGCTCTTCGAAAAGTGACATTTATTCGACATTGAGGTGACAGTCAGGTAGAAGAGAATTCTTGGCCATTTGTAATGAATTATTGATAATTGTGATTTTACTTATTATTTATATTTCCCTCAAAAATGTGGCCGACCGATTTGGATGCTAAACTCGAAGAAGTAAGTTCTTACACTAATGGAATACTATGCTAGATTATAGAAGTTATGGTATTAAGCATATAAAAACGTACGCTTATGTAGGTATATTGCTGACGACCTCCTTGAAACACCGTTTTTCATGGTTTCGCCATCTCTGAAGTCCCTGGTTCTTTCCCCGCCGTGGGTCTGGGGTTTGTGGTACTGTCATTGTTACAGATTTCCATAGCACAAGTGCTTTAGTTACTTGCTTTGGAATCAGAGCAACCTACGTGATGTTGTCTAATATTTCTATTTATTATTATTTATTACTAGATAAGAAAAGATAATGGTAAATTTCAAATTGAATTTCACACATAAATTCCCCGAAAGAACCAAACCTTTAGTCTACCACGGCTTCATATATTTTGCACTATTAGACTCAACTCACACTGGCGCAGAGTCGAAGTGTCGCATAGCGTCCTGTTTTTCAACTCCACCGCCAGGCGACGCACGACGACCCTCGTATTAGTGCGCCCGGATCACAGTGTGTTCGGCGTCTGGTGCCTCACTGCGGCGACGCCCAAAACCGCTCGACTCCAACCAAACGTCGACGCTTGACTCCATATTTGCAAAACACAAATTTGTACCTTAATAAAGAGAAATTAGATATGCTATAGTCGAAAAACATGACGCGCCGCGACGCTTCCACTCTGCGCCAGTGTAAGTTAAGCCTTACAGTAAACTAGAATTGCGTGTGGCTAATAACAATCTGTATCAACCCACGGCTAGGCATCATAGAGCTTAGATATACCAGAAAAGTGTACAGATAAGATAAATCCAAGAAGCTGGGAGTAAACATTGGATTTTGTATGCATTAATTCTCAGTACGATGTAATGGAGCTACCTGGGCAGCAACTACCCGCGGCACATGCGGATACCCTGCTGGACCACGTGCTTAATCTCGATATCAAATCACCTCCAGGCTGTTTGAGGCTTAGTAGCATCATGTGTAGTATGGGTACAAACAACTTTATTATTGTTTAATAGTATCGTAGTTTATACCGTAAAAATGATGAAGATTTATAATTGAATGTAGAAAGACATTTGGAAACAGCTTATACTTGGGTATTGTTTAGCGATCAATCACGAAAAGAAGATCAATTTACAAGAACGAAACACCCGACAAACTTGGATTAGTAGGAAATTAAAACAAATGAATGTAAAAACAACATTCGACAATTTTTTTTTTTCAAATTACATCTAAAATACAAAAAAACAAACAATCTAAAATAATAAAAAAAGTAAAGTTCAAAATGCTGCAATACTTTAGGAATTTACTCGCATGTCATCGGCAGGCTTATGTCCAAAGAAAAGATCCAAATCGTTTCCTTTTTCTTTCTTTTCTTTTTTCGGAAGCCAATAGAAAATAGGCGTGGTAGGTTGTATTGTTTATTTGTGTTGTATGAATTTGTATTTAATAGTTTGTAGACTACCACCTTCTGCACTTCTGACATAGGTCTTATTCTCATTTCCTCACTTCGCTACCTCTCCTCACATCAGTTATTTCTACGCAGGCTTATTTATACTTGTTCTTTTTGGCCCAGCCTTTTTTAAAGACATATGTACGCTGAAATTGAATTTTTCCCTTGTTCTCATTCACATTTACTGTGCAGTTACTATAAAAGTTTTTTGGACTTTAGACAGTATAATTTCAAATTGAAATGTACTTAATTGTTTTGGCGCCTTTTTTATTTGTCATTGTTTTGTTTGTTTTTGTGCTCGTGCATATCTCATATTTTGTTTTTAAATAAATTTTAAGTACATTTTCTTTGGCCTTGCTCACTCTTGTTAGTACCCGTACCCTATTTTTGTAATCCGATACACACTCTATAAATTTGTATCATTGTACTAGTAACATCCTTTCCGTATGACGAAACCATCGTAGCATTCCTTTTTTAACATAGTCACTACATCATCTATTATATCACAAGCTTTCTTATCACACTGTTTCTCATTCTGTCTCCGAATTACACCACACGTACTATGCAACTTTCTTTATTCTGCCCTAATTTCATGCTTCCTCTACCAAACCCAATATTCATTACCGTCCATTTGAGTTGGAACTAATGGGATAACCAGCCAGACACGCCTATTTTCGACATATTCTGACTGGTAGGTACAAATAAAAGCGTCTACAAATACCATTTGCCTCATTCAAAACTTTCACTATCCGTTCAATATCATCTTCACTAAATATATTGTTAATAGACGATCCAACCTCAAAAATTCCTTCGATTTTTCTAGCGTGATAATACTTTGAAGAATACCTGCATTTTCAAAAAACATCATTAATTTGTGTGTTTAGATGATTTAAGTTACATAGACTACTCCATAATTTCCTCGTATGTCTTTTGTCTAGGTAAATCGACGTTAGATATTGACGTAATGGAAAAAATGATGGCTGCTGGAATGAATATTGCTTTAATAAATATGACATTTGGTACAAAGGAAGAACACATTGAAGTTATCAAAATGCTTCGACAAGCAAGCAAGAACTACAGCATGAGAATGAACAGAAACTATCCATTAGGTATTGCTATAATGCTGACAGGTAAAAAGATGAGGACGGGAAAAATTAGTGATGTAAGTACTTAGCCACTACTCTTACATTAATTGTGCTTAATATAAAAGATAAGGTACGTGGTTTAAGTATCATCAAACTTACTAAAGAATATAGAATTTTATTAAACTGTAAACAGCGGAGGAACGAAAAATCACAGAGGGTATCGTTTTAAGATAGCTGGGTACTGCAAAAAGTTTAAATACGCCAACCAAAGTCAGTGTTAACAAAAGCAAATTCCATGATTTTAGCAACTTTTACTGTGATTTCATCTCATTGCCACCAGTGATCAGAAGGCTGGCTGTTAAAGAATTTGTCGTCCAAATTGGATAATTTACCTCAGCCTCTTGGGCAAAAGTTTTATATTAAGCATATTTTAACACACAGTTTTATTCAAGGTCATAATAATTACTAGTTTTTATTCTTAAATCAACCATGATTCTTAATAAGACAAATATACATAAATATAAATATAATAATAAATAAATAAATGTAATAATTTAATACAGTGGTGATGAAAAGGAAATACATTTTCTTTTTAAAAGCCCTCTGTCAATATAAACAGACATAATGGGTTCTAACATTTCAGAGTTTTGGGGATTTCATAGAGCTTAAAACAGGAGAAACGGTGAGATTAACCACAGATGAAACTTACCGTGAACGATGTTCCGTCTATACTGTCTACGTAGATTTCATGTATTTTGCCGAGCAAGTAAAAAAAAACGACACAGTTTTATTAGATAATGAAGAAATTTTACTAAAAGTGGAGGTAGTTTCTGCGAATACAATTACATGCAAGATTGAAAGAGGTGGAATGCTCGGTTCTCACAAGGACGTATTCGTTCCAAACAAAGTGATGCAAATGCCAGACTTTACAGACAAAGATAAAAGCTATATTGATATGGCTATACGTTATCAGGTATGTCACAATGTTAACCCTTGTACATGTTTGCTGGATTTTTATTCAGATTCTTGAGAAAACCTAATTAAAAGAACTGGTCTATGCCATTAGAGTTTATACTACATAGACATTTTTACAACTAAATTCGTCCAAAAAAGAGAAATTTAACTGACAATGAGTCAGTATTCACTTTCTATATATTTAATACTAGTATTATTAACCGTGAAAAGGACAGATTTTAGTAGAATAACGATACAAATTTATAAAGTTAACGTAGGGGACAAATAGTGAAAAGATGGCCTCGACGACAATCAGATTGAATGTACTCAAAAAGGCAAAAATACCAAGTATTTATGAGAATTGAGGAAGCAAAAGAGTTTATCAGGTAGAGGTCTAAAATTAATAATAAAATAATCTCATGAATTGCTTTGCAGATGTGTGTAGGATTCCTCACAATGTTTTTCTTCACCGAACTTGCCAAACTGAATATTTCCTAATATGCTTTTCAGGTTGACTTAATAATAGCCACGTTTATAAGTTCCGCTGACAGTTTAATAAACCTAAAACAGCTACTTGGTGAAAAAGGAAAGAAAATAGCGATCGTAGCCAATATCCAGACCGCGGAAGGTTTTCATAACTTTGATGATATTATAACGGTAATAGTTTAAAAACTATATTTAACACTTATAATCTACAATTACGTTATTAACATTGACAAGCCCATATTATCTTTTCAGATAGCTGATGGTGTTATAATCACCAGACAAGAATTAGGCTCCGACATAAGCCCCAAAAAATTAGTGATTGCCCAAAAGAACATAATTGCTCGAGCTAATAAGGTACAGTTTATTTTAGAAATTCACATTTCCGGTAAGCTTAAGTAGCATTGTGCTTCATTTAAAAGTATCCATTGAAACACGACATAATATATCGGAAATTACAGGCTAATATTCCAGTTTTTTTAAACGCACACCTTCTTAGTAGCATGAGGTATCATAAATTACCCTTGCGAGCGGAATTACTGGACATTGCCAATTGCGTACTTGATGGTGTTGATGTTCTCGCGCTGTCTGCAGAAACCGCCGTAGGACAGTATCCTGTGGAAGCCGTAGAGTGTATGGCTAGCACTTGTAAGGAAGCTGAGGCTTGTGTTTGGACGAAACAGGTCTTCTATGATCTCGTTGACAAGGTACTTGGATTTTCATCCGTTTTGAATCTTAAAAGTTGAAGCAGAGACCAAATGATTATTGTTTTAATATAACTTTGTTGTTGTAGACTATCATACCTTGTGATCAAACAACAGCAACTGCGCTCGCAGCCGTCCTCGCAGCTCAAAGGTCTATTGCAGCGGCAATCGTAGTGATAACCAGTACGGGCAAATCTGCCCAAGTTGTTGCCAAGTACAGGCCACGATGCCCAGTCATTGCTGTTACTAGATATACTCCCATTGCCAGACAGTTGCACATGTGGAGAGGTATTTTGCCTCTTATTTATGAAGGTATTCGTTATTTTAATAATTCACTCGAATTACGTAATGCGGATTTTTAAGGAACCGAAAGATTAAGTTTATCAAATTATGCCTAGGTTCCGTTTCAAAAATTTGGTGTTGGTTTAAAGACACCTTCAAATTAGATGCTTATAGAAGTGCTACAGTGGTAGTGCAACTGTGGTGTACACAGAGAGCGGATGCGAGTCGGGTCTGGACCGCGGCGTGTCTAATTCCGTGTGTTTATATGGACGACAACATATCGAGCGTGGGCGCGTACGCTCGTCCCGCGTCCGCGCTATGTGTGTTGTCATATAAATACACGGAATTAGACCCGCCGAGGTTCCGACTCGACTCGCGCCCGACCTGTACCCGCTCTCTGTGTGTTTCACGCTTAATTGTTACTGCATAAGTGACGCGCGTGTGTCACGCCAATGGCGCTGCGAACGCGCTTCCAGATATGCCACTGCAGAGCTTCTATAAGCGTCTTATTTAGGAGCGCCTTTGTTCATTACGGCGGTGGCCTAAATAGTATGTTACCTGTGAACATTATATGCTACATAACACCTTGCAAACTCATGTAAAGTCTCAAAGTGGCGTCTAGATTAAAAAACATCATGGCTGCCGCCCGGAGGTGTTTTAACTGTACCTCATCCATATAGAATATCGAGTTATAATACAAGCCTTCCTGAGATGCTTGTGTCTTATAACTTGTCTTGTGTCGTTCAAAAACAATATACATAGTACATACGTAAATATTATGAATGAAATATTTTTAATTAGATTAATTTTGCCACTTAAGATTTTTAAATGTACATACTTTTATTGCATCGTCGTGCTCAAGTGTAGGCAGGTGTTTGTAATTTTTGGTGAATTTTTATAGTGACAGGTTCTGCTCCTGTCAGATCGATAGATCGAATAAATGGACATCATGGTAGTTAAACACCATAATATTGATTACAATCAGTATTACAAAACTTTGTTAACACCTTGTCAACTCCCAGCCAGCAAAGTTTAATGGTGTGGGATAGTATAGTGTAACGGGCTGGTGTACGCAACTCGACATTAAGCTCCTCCAAACATCTCAGCACCCTTCTGGGTTTGTTGGAGACTTTCGGGGAGCGACCTCGACACTCTAAGGCGTTTCGGGCCTTTGATTAGCCACGCCAGAGCATTGCATTAGGATGTGCGCGTCAGTTACTTCCCCCTCCATGCATGCTCTGCATAGAGGGCTGTCCGTGTTACGTAGTTTGAAATGGTGTTTAGTATACGGTCTATGACCATGACAGCAAGTTTCTTTATTTTGAAAGTACGCATTTGCGATTAAATGCTAGCAGGATAATGTTTGGAATTTATAAAAATCTAAAGCTTTCGCTCTATCTGCGGTTTCAGAGAGTCCAGATGCTGACTGGCAATTGGACATCGAGAAACGAGTCGCATTTGGTGTCAAATGGGCCATAAACCAAGGTTTCATCAGGATCGGAGATCCTGTCGTCATCGTCTCCGGGTGGAAACAAGGATCTGGGTTCACCAACACCATGAGGATCATATACGCTTCTCTGGACTCGTTCTAGATATTATTTTAGATAGTTTATTGACATAAAATCATTATAAACCATTTTGTACTGTGTTTTGTAGTCTTTTGCTTTTATTACTGGTATATAAAAGTATATAATAATTCTCCAATATTTATACTAATTGTTTGTGTCTCATATTTGCTTGCCTGCATTAGCAAATGAAATATAATAATAATAGTTAGCCTATATAGTCTTACTGCTAGGCAAAGGCCTTCTCTCACAACTCAATGAGATGGCTTGGGCTGTAGTTCCCACGCAGGACCGAAACGGATTGGCAACTTCACACACATCATTAAATAACTTTGGAGATTTCATCGCAATCTTTTTCTTCACCTTAAATTTCAAACTAAATTTCCCACATAAACAGCATAAAATAATGTATTTTGCTTACCTATGAAACTTGAAACTAGAAATTCCGGAACACTCCATCCTTATTGAACTAATTTATTGGAATATTTTGTTCTATTGGTTGAACTGTTTAAACTCATAGTTGACCTTAGTGGAATAGATGGGCTTACCACCTGTTAGTACGAAGCTCTTTTCTATATCTTTCCTAATGAATATAGGAAGTGGAATACACTGCTGGCATCTGTTTTCCGAAAGCTACAATTTGAGCTTTTCAAGGCTGTAGTGGATAAGTGTTTGCGTGTATAACCTACGCATTTACGAAAAGAAATGAGACTACAGGTTGACTTTTTATTACTAGCCATATTTTTCCTACGCATTAGGCAGGTATCATACAAAGACTCCATTAAAAAAAATTGGTTGGTCAAATTTTCATATTATAATTATTTATCCAAAACAATAATCGATAATGTTTGGTTACCTAGTCAACACAACACGCTAGTCAGGCGTATATTTTCGGGGTGTGTTTCCCGTAGAGTGTCTAAAAACTTGGACTTTTAATATTATAATTTGCTAATTATAAAAAAATCACCTTGTATAATTCAAATTCAAATTCAAACTCGTTTATTCAGATATCTAGGATCCATAAGTGTTAGCAACAATGAAACTTATAATTAGGTTAGTACTTAAATTCTAGAACAGATTTTGTATTATTAATGAGATGCCGCATTGTGGGACACTCACACCTAACCGCAATTGTCTTCAGGAGGCTGTTACCGCTGCCACGTATTCTGTTCAACAGAGATGCTGATCTTTTGCGCAAGACTGCCATGAAGCTATCCACACGGGCTTCAGCAAACATGGCAGACGCACTGCAAAACCGCGGCAGCCGCATCAGCGTCCTAAAGGCGTTATTGTATTGCGTGCGCATAGCCCTGAGCGAGACTTGGGTATATAATATAGTAACATTTATAGTAAAAAAATAATATTAAGGTCCGCAGCCAAAGTAGCTATTAATTTATTAACATATCTAACTCGTCATGATCAAAAACAATCTAAATGAAATAAAATTCTTACATTAGATCTTGGCCTGTAACCACGTTTAATCACAATGAGTGATGAAAAGGAATCAACGCCTTTGCCCCGCAGTGGGATAGTAGCGGCTGAAAAATGTAGATTTTTTTCTCCATGAAGGAAATGCTTAAAGACACAAATGGCAAGTTTATGTTTAGTATTATTACGTTTTGAGGTTCTTAAATTATTTGTTACAGGTTATATAAATCAATCAAGCTAAATAATAATAATAATTACGCGCAAACTCATAGCCCCACACTGGGAAACTTTGTATCGCGGGTGCTATGGACACACACGTGTTTGTGTGTTTTTTTAGGCAACCACAAATTACATTAGTGTTAGATAAAGATGTATGGAAAGACAATGTGAGTTTCTATGCAAATATGATTTAAAATGTATTATTCTATAGCATTGAAGTTTATTTGAACAGAGCAATCCCTAGAGTTTCTTGCTCGTTCATCTCAGGGAAGTCGGCACCTAGTACCTAAAAAAATTACGTTTTCAAGTGTAAAAATTTTACCTACAGACTAAATGATTATTTAACTTTGACATTGACCTCCAAACTCGAGAGAAATAAATGTAGGCCATACAAATAGTTTTCCCGGCCCGACAATCGAACCCGGGACCTCTACGTGGCAGTCCAGTAGGTATGGTAATCGTTCGGTCACAGAGGCAGTTGAAAAGTAAGAGTTTTCTTCAGTTCGTTCTATAGGAAAAAAGTGTAGTGGGAAGAAGCAAGCTCACGCGTAAAGCGTAGCACTAACGCAGTTCATGCTGTAATGGTCAGCTCCAGTCGGTTT